AATCAGAACCAAAACAGATGTTTTTAGCAGGTCCCAGCTGTAATGGCTAATGGCCTAAAAGGGGGCGGGGAGCAGCAGCTCATTTGCATTTAAAGACACAGGCCCGAAAAACAGCTTGTTTCTGCTTCCACTCAAAATAGGCATTTTCAAAATTATATAATAAATGATCTGTGGAGTATTTTGAGCTGAAACTTCACAGACACATTCTGGGGACACCTGAGACTTATATTACATATTGTAAAAAGGGGCATAATATGTCACCTTTAAATAAAGCTAAAATAATATAAATTATAATTATTATATTACGAAACTAAACTTAAAAACTTGATGAAAAATGTTGCCTTGGCAGCTAACTGAAATAAGTTGAAGTTGAAGTACTAATATTACTAAAACTAAAAAGAAATAAGGAAATGCATAAAAGGAAATAGAAATGAAAAAAGCACAAAATGACAAAAAACTAAATTAAAATGAAAACTGAAAATATAAAATAAAAGCTAGTTCAGTATATAAAAGTATATAAAGTATATAAATAATTATTTACTTGAATTCAGGTCTGTCAGCATCATATTAAAGATATATGTAGATTTAATTCAGGATCGTTGGGAGATTTTTTTTCCCGGTCATCTCAATGGCAAGTGGAGTTTACCTGAATTCACCCTAACGCACAGTAATCTTTGATTTTTACCCAGATTTAGTGCCGCTATGAGACCCAAGGCCACCAGCGCTTCGTTCTGCATGATCATGTGTTCACTCGTCGCCATGGTTACCAAGTGCTTAACACCTCCACCTTGTATGACTGTTCGGACCACATCCTATTCAGAAAGAAAACAGCAGTCAGAATCTTCCAGAGGATGTGAATCTGTGACGGAAAAATCAGCAGCAATAACAGAAGTCCTCCACAGCACGAAACAATACAATCAAGAACATGCAGCGAAAAAAATATTTTTCTAAGTTGTAAATAAAACAAGAATTATTGTAGTACATTTAACAAGAAAATACTCCTCCTACTTTAAAATGTCATGTTTAATTCAACAGGTTACATGCTGTTTCTTAACAGCGAAAAATAGTTTCTACACCAGATCTTTGGTAACAGACATACTAGACATTTTGTCGAAACCAAGTGTCGTGTCCGGTTAGCATAACAAAAGATTTACTTGGTAAGGATGGGATTTCCGGTTTATGCCTGGTTATGACATGGTGTGAGATGATGCACGTCTAGTCAAAGTGCAGCACCATCACTAAAGCATCACTGAAATGAGTAGGGCTCTATAAAATCTGTTTTATTTTTTCCAAGCTCTTTTTTTCCATTAGAAATTTTTTGAACTCCGTTTTAATTAGGGATCCACCGAATGTTCGGCAACCGAAATTATTCGGTATAAGCGAAAAGACCGAATAAATTGTACCGAACAATGATATGACGTGAACAAATAGCAACCAGCGCAGAGTGAGAGGCGCGCACTCTTTATTATGCAGCACACACGTCAGCAGTGTGGAAGCATTTAAACTGTCCGAGAAAGATGCAAAAATCATTACAAGCACCGACAGCGAGAGAATGTTTAGGACTGCATCGCATGTCTTCGATGAGAAGAGGAAGGGGTGACTGTTGCTGGTTACTGTACGATGATTGAAATCGCGAAGTGGCCTTAAACAATTAGTAAATAAACTGCAGAACGTTATGTTTTCTAATACACGCGCGCATTGCATGTATTCTGACAGCGAAAATCTGCGCTCGTCAGTTGCTCAGTCACATTTTTATGAATTTTTACGCACAATCAGCTTGTAACACTCCAAAGAGAAAGGAAAACTTGAAATCGCATCATATGACCCCTTTAAGTGCGCCGACCTACTTTTGATATATTCATCCAAAATTTGACAAATTCCATGCCATTCTGCATTATACAGTAAATTCCATTTTTATGACAATGTTTCTGTCTGTGTTTTCTGCATCACAGAAACCATAGGGCCCTAAATGAGAGAAGTGCTAGAGTGCGAGACCTTTGACTTGCTGTGTCGGATGAGAGCGGACAGCAGGCGGTTGGACTCTCCCATCACTCCGGCGTGGTCTTTCGCTTCACACCACTCCACCAAACGCTCCACCAGCTTTGCCTTTGTGCCCAGCTGCTCTGCTGCGTCAGCTGCAACATACACACACACACACACACACACACACACACACAGCGCTAAACATAATCAACCTAACACAAGCCACCGTGAAGCACATGCTACAACACATTTATTCATTTATATAATTTTTTTCTATTTTGAAATACTGTTGAATATTACAGTACTTGTAATAATTTTGTTTAATATTATTAAACAAAAATAATTAGTTTCATATTTTTATTTAATATCTTAGCTTTAAAAAAATCTTTAAATATCGCATTTTTTTAAATCAGAAAAACTGCGCAATTTTTTCATAAATTGTGAAAGCCCTATCTTAGGAAGTGCAGTTTTGCCGCTTCAATACATTATGAAAGATGCATATTTCTGCTACGTGTTTAATGTTGTACACACATTTCAGTTGTTTTTGCAAACTGAGAGACGGATGGGAATTATTTTCTGTGGTAATTGGCAGCTTGTCACAGATGCTGTCGATACAGCTCAAGATGTATTTACCCAGGAATATTCCTTTTAAACCCAAGCTGTCACTGAGAGCTAACACGGCTGGGCCGTTGCCAATGAAAGACAATGCAAATTCGTCCGTTGTCTGCAGATCCGTAGTTACTAAATGACAGAGTGCCATCGATCCTCCGCTCACTTCATATCAGAGACTGACTGCTGTGTGGCAGCAGCTGGGACGGGCCTGAACCTGACATCAAATCACACATGCTGTCTTTGACACAGCTAAACAGCTGTAAAACATAAAAGGATTTGTAAGCTTATCAATTTCAATTAAAAACCCATAGAATAAACAACTGTTTTGTGGCTTTTAGCTCATGTCTGTTAGTTTGATGTGATCGACATGCTAACCTTTAGCAGACATACACATTTGAAGCTAGAATTACGTCAGTGTTATTTTATTTTTTATTTATATACTTTATTATTTATTGAGAATTAGCTTTTATATTTATACTTTCAGTGTTCAGTTTAATTTTAGTTTATTAATTTTTAATCTTTTATCATTTTTATTATCTAGTTCTATTTAGCTTTACTTTTATTTCAGTTTTAGTTTTATATAGCAATTTTAGTTCTTCAGTCTAAACGCATTTTATTTCATTTAGTTGCCAAGGCAACATTTGTAATTTAATTAAGTTTTTCATCTTGCATTAAAATAATTACCTATAAATAAATATAAAATATAAATAAGTATAAATATTATATTTATATTTTATTTCAGTTCCCTTTCAGTCGGTCACTACGAGTCACGTCGTGACCGACGAATTGAGATCCCAATTCGTCGGTCACGACGTGACGTCTCCGT